ATTGGCGTAGACAACACATCATTGAATTGATCCAAATCAATTTCTATAAAGCTTTCTTTGATATCATGACCTCTAAGAAAACAACTGCTCTTTGATATCAATTCCTAGCAACAACCTCAATTCCTTTCTCTTTAACCACTTTTCCCAAGACAAGATCATCTTTCGATTCACTTTTGGCCACTTCACAGACTATGATTGGAGCAAATTCACTAGGTGACTTTGTGAGCACTACGTCAGAGAGCTCGGATTGCAATATCATTACTTCTAAAGGTATTTTGGACTAACAATTGCTCTTTTCGATTCATTGCTCTCAAGAAAATAGGAATAACAGTTTCTCTTATTTCATCCTTAGCCTTTTCAAGTTCAATACATGGGCGATCCGCACAAGCCATATCCATAAATTTTGGAAATTACCAAAATACCCCTAACCTTAAAATTGATCAGCAATTTTCTTTGCCAAAAATAAACATAAATAAGATTCTATCAAGGCTAGAAACATAATTATAGATGATTCCAATTGATTCTAATTGAGTTTGGCTTGAAACCAAGAAATTCCCAAACATGAATATGCTTCCTTCATTTTGGTTTTCCTTGCTCCTAATGTGGACTCCATCTCCATTAGGTGTGTGCTTGTCCCTAATCATCTAATTACATATTTAATTTAATTAATCAAGATTAACACTAATTAAGCTAGGTTAAGTTGCTAGAATAGGAAACAAGCTAGAATACAAAATATATGATTGTATTTTCTTCTTCTTTATTCCCTTGATTGGTGTAATGGGTTGACCTATCTTTGAGTCTCAGCCTTATTTTTCGGTCCCCCCGTTCTCACAGTCATCCCTTTAGGGGGAGCCTTGGTGTGAAGAGATTCCTGTTCCACTTCCGTCAATGGTTGAACAAATAGAGGATGATGAGCCAGCAGTTGTTGTAGAAAAGGAAGCAGTTGTTGCAGAAAAGGAAGCAGACAAAGTTTATATCAGGGACAAGGATAGACAGCAAGTCACTTAGATGCAAGAGACTACTTCTCTTCCTCTACTGCCAACTTCTTCTCCGAATGAGTGTCTAGAGTCACCCACCTATACTAAGAGTCCAGGTAATTCTGATTCTAGACTTCTATTCCTGTTTTTTCCAATCTTGATGTTCCCATTGCTAATAGGAAGGGGGTTAGGTCCTGTACTCAACATCCTATTAGTAATCATGTCTCTTATTCTCATTTATCTTCCTCATATAAAACTTTTCTGTCTAAAATGTCTTCTATGAGTCTACCTACCAATTTTTAGGATGCTCTTTCTATTCCTGAATGGAAACATGCCATGATGGAAGAGATGAGAACTCTCAGCAAGAGTGGCACTTTGGGAGTTAGTGGAGTTACCTAGAGGAAAAAATCCTGTTGGGTGTAACTGGGTGTACACGGTAAAATACAAAGCAGATGGGTCCATAGAACAGTACAAAGCAAGACTGGTTGCTAAGGGCTTCACTCAGACTTATGGGTGGATTACCAGGAGACATTCGCACCGGTTGCTAAGATGAATTCTATGAGAATCTTACTCTCTCTTGCTGCAAATTTGGATTGGCCACATCATCAGTTTGATGTGAAGAATGCCTTCCTTCATGGAGATCTAGCAGAAGAGGTCTATATGGATATTTCTCCTGGTTTTGCGGATGCTAAGTCCAACGGTAAAGTATGTAGGCTCCAAAAGTCATTTTATGGGCTAAAGCAGTCTCCTAGGACTTGGTTCGAAAGGTTTGCTCAACCTATGCTGAAATATGGGTTCAAGCAAAGTCAAGCTGATCACACCTTGTTTGTGAAACACTCCTCACATGGTAAGACCACAGTTCTTATTGTCTATGTTGATAATATTGTTCTGACAGGAGATGATGTTGAGGAGATTCCTCATTTGAAAGAATATTTGGCTAAAGAGTTTGAAATCAAAGACTTAGGCTATTTGAAATATTTTTTGGGCATTGAAATAGCTCGGTCCAAGGATGGCATCATCATATGCCAAAGGAAGTATGTACTTGACTTGCTAAAGGAAACTGGAATACTTTGAAGTAGACCATGTGATACACTTCTAGAACTGGGCCAGAAACTGAGTAAGGATCAAGAGAGAGATCCAGTGGACAGGGGGAGATACCAGAAACTAGTGGGCAAGCTCATATACTTATCCCACTCACGTCCAGACATTGCCATTGCTGTGAGCATAGTGAACCAGTTTATGCATGCTCCTAGAACTTCCCACTTGAAGGCTGTTATGAGAATCTTGAGATACCTGAAGTCTTCTCCTGAAAAGGGTCTCTATTTCTCAAAACATGGCATCTCAGTGTGGAGGCATTTACTGATGCAGATTGGGCTGGCTCAATCACTGACAGACGATCAACTTCCGGATACTACACATTTGTGAGTGGTAACCTAGTCACATGGCAAAGTAAAAAACAGAATGTGATGGCTAGATCTAGTGCTAAGGCAGAATTCAGGGCTATAGCTCAGGGTGAATGTGAGTTACTATGGATTAAACTATTGTTGGGAGACTTGGGAATCCATCAGACTGACTCCATGCGACCATTCTGTGACAACAAGGCCGCAATCAACATAGCTCATAATCCAATTCAGCATGATAAAACTAAGCATGTGGAGATTGATAGGCACTTCATCAAGGAAAAACTCACTAGTGGCACCATATGTATTCCATTTGTGAAGACTGAGGACCAACTAGCTGATGTTCTCACCAAGGGACTAAGGAGCAAATCCTTGCATGGCATTCTCAACAAGCATGACATGAGAAATATCTTCGCACCAACTTGAGGGGGAGTGTTAGAATAGCAAATTGTTAGAATAGGAAGTATTAGAATAGGAAATAGTCGGTAGTATTCTTATTCATTCCTTTTTTGATTACTTAGACTGTGCATGTAATTACTCAATTATCAATATAAAAGGGAATGAAATCTAACTCATCCCCCAACTCTTTCTCTTCTCTAAAATTACACCCTCCCCCTCTCTTTAGAAAGCACCTATCCAAACCCAAAATAAAAGAAACAACAACAAAAAGGCAACTAAAATCTTCAAATTGAGAACTCATATCCTGAGAAACTCTCAATATATGGTAAAAGAAATATCAGCACACCTTCTACCCAGGTAAAAATGCTAATATCATGCGATTTACCAAACAAAAACGAAACGAAGTCCAGTTGCCCATCTCTAAAAGCTTTGCTTTAACAATAAGTCACACATTCACATAGTCATCCAACCAAAACTCCTAATTTATTGTGATAGAATACAAGCCCTAGAAACATCTCCTTAAAGCCATTCTCCCAAACCAAACATCCTCCCATAATTGAACAGGTTTGCAATTGAAAAACCAAAATTCAATCAATATCACAATCGAAAGCTAGTACACAAACCTAAAGGGTCAGGCTAATGCAAGAAAAATATAAATTCTTATTTCAAACGCCATGAATTTATTCAAGTCTTGTAATAGAAATAGAATCCAAAAAGATAGATAACTCATCAATCAAATTATTAAAAAGAATATAGCAATAGTTAATATTTTTTCTTAAGTTAATGCATACAATAAAACGCACTAAATTTTATGATTATATTTTATACTTTATTGATTATTCATAGATAATGTTTATCTAAAAAAAAGATAAATAATGTTAAATTAATGGGGTTTCTTTTTTTCGGTGCGTGTGATGGTAGAAATTGATATTATATATTAAATTTTACGACAATTATTTTATTTTATTTTTTTTTTCAATTAGGAGTTACATGTGCTTCCACCCCCCTAAAGTCAAAATCTTGGATCCGTCGTTAACCAGAAGGGAGGGAGAAGGTGGTGGAGGGTGGTTGAGACCACTTTTCTGCTTCTTTGTTTCTCTTGTTGCATGCATCCCTGAATCGATCTCCATATATGTATCCCTCAACTGTTGAATTAACAATGATGGACGCCAAATTTTAAAATTCACGATTTAATTTGTTATTGGGCATAACTTTGGGAGCTTTAATTATTTGGTAATTTTCCCTGGTGTTATTTGAAATTGGTATTTAATCGTGGTAAATTTCAAGAAAAATACAATTTTAATCAAGAAAATTTGCTTAAAAATTGAAATAATTCATTCACGCGTACATTCATGCTTCCAAATGTACCCATCAAAGACTGTACAAGCCTCATTGTGGAAAGATCTAACTCTGAGAAAAAAATGGAAATAACAAAACAAAAAACATGGCAGCATTTGCGCCCAACATCCCAAGAAAAGAGAAGATCTCCTAACTCCAAGAAAAAATGGTGAAGTATGACGATCTAATCTTGAACATACAATCATCCTCAATAGTCCTACAACCAAATGGAAGAAAAATCTTATCTAGAACTTAGTCTGCTGAACATTTCATCTCCTTGTAATTTTGATTCACCAGCAATTCCAAATAAAAGTGAAAATATCTCATCAGATTGCGGGTGCGATCTATCGCCAGAGAGAAAGACATTAACTCTCCCTTTCTGCAAAATCCAACTACATCCAGGAACTTTCTTCATCCCCTTCAATCCCATATCCTTCCTCAGTGTTTGCTCTTCAATGTGACATCCAGTTGCTACATATATATTGCGTAGTGCCACAAAGGCTGGTACATTCAACGGATCCAACTCAAGGAGTTTTTGGGCTGCACGTTTAGCAATCTCTGCATTCTTCTCACCAAATCCACACACACCAAGTAATGCCCCCCAAGCGGCATGACCTAACTCAAAAGGCAGGCTCAGAACAAACTCTTCTGCTTCCTCTAGTTTGCCTGCTCTGCCTAAAAGATTTATCATAGAAATATAATGCTCCAAGCCTGGTTCATTTGAGTATTCATTATTCATGGCACTAAATAACGCCCACCCTTGGTCAACAAGACCTGCATGGTTACACGCTGACAAAATCCCCAAGAAAGTAACAGAATTTGGGCAAATTACAGATTCCTGCATGGCTACGAAGAGCTTTAGAGCTTCACTAGCTAGCCCATGATGTGCAAATCCCATTATCATGGAATTCCAAGAAACCAAATCCCGAGATATCATATTTGAAAAGATGCCATGTGCATCATCTATCTCCCCACATTTTGCATACATTGAAATCAAAGCATTCTCAATAAATAAATCAAGTTCCGGCAGTGTCTTTGTCAACAAACAATGGAACTGCTTGCCTTGATCAAGATTAGCCAATGCACCAGCGGCTCCAAGAAGAACAGAATATGTAGAATTTGGTGGTGATATTCCATTAGTTCGCATTTCTGCAAACAAGCAGGTAGCTTCTGCAAAACATTCATTTTGGACATACCCTGATATCATTGTTGTCCATGCAACATCATCTTTATCAGGCATTCTCTTAAAAAAATCACATGCCTCTTCTACTTTGCCAGCACTAAAATACCCACTGATCATAGAAGTCCATGAAATTTTGTCTCGGAAGGGTACTGTGTCAAACAAAATCTGTGCATTTTCCAACTGTCCAATCTGAATATAACCAATAATCATAGAATTGCAAGACTGAACTGTACAACTTTTCAAATTTTTAAGAAATATACAATGTGCATAATCCATGATACCAAACATTGAATACATGTGAATTAGGCTCTTAGACAACCTTCCATCACCTTCAGCACAATCCCAACCATTAATTATCAAATATGCATGTAATTGCTTGCCCAGCTGAGGATGACCCACACCTGCACAAGCATAAGCAAGTGAAATGAAAGTCTCACCATTTGGTTTTATGTCATAGTTCTCTCTCATTTCAATAAAAAGCAACAAGGCATCTCTGTATAAGCCATTCCAACCAAACCCGCCAATCATGGCTGTCCAAGAAACAACATTCCTCTCGGGCATTCTTCGAAATAAGAAATACCCCTCTTCCACATTGCCAACCCTACAGTAACCGGCTATCAAGCTAGTCCAAGTAATCACATTGTAGCCATGCATCTTCTCAAACAATGCTCTTGCTTCTTCCATCCTACAATGCTCAACATACCCCGAAATCATAGCATTCCAAGAAACTTGATTTTTGGTCGGCATAACATCAAAAACTCGCCTTGCTTCCTCCAAATATCCATTTCTAACCAACCCGACAACCATTGAATTCCAAGAAACCACATTCCTCTCTGGCATCACAATAAACAACTCCCTTGCCTGATCAACCATCCCCGCATTCATCAACCCACAAAGCATCGAAGTCCATGACACCACACTCCTCTCCGGCATCACTTCAAACAATCGATATGCATCATTCAACCTCCCCCATTGCAGGTAAGTTGAGATCATTGCATTATATGTTACCACGTTTCTCTCAGGCATGATCTCGAATAGTGTTCGAGCTTCGTCAACAAAACCATCTCTCCCGTATTTTGAAAGCAATGAAGTCCAACCCACAACATGGCTAGAGTTATCTCTTTGAGGTATTTGCTCGAGTAGGTCACGAGCATCTTCAAAATTATTGTTGGAAAGGCATAGGAGGAGTTGAGAATCTTCAAAACTGAGTTCTGGGTAATGGGTTTTGGAGAATTTGGTTTGGAGTTTGAAGCAACCGACATGAAAGGAACAGCAGCACAGATTAATTGGCCTTTTTGAGAGGAAGTGTTTGAGGGTCTTCAAACTAGAAGTGGTGCACATTAACTGTTTTCAGTATGAGGATGATATTGTGGTTGTTATTTGCTCAGTGTCGTGCCATGGTTTGATTGGTAAATTTATGAACCCCTACAGGATGTAACAACAATAATTATTAGACTAAATTCAACATTATAATTTTTCTCTCTTTTCAGGAATATATTCGGACAGCATATCATTCAAAATTAGGGTGGGACAAGAAACACTTAACTTGATGAGTCATTTAAGGTGTCTGATCAATGGGTTAACTCACGGTGTGACATTAAATTTCTTTGGAATTCTCTCTGAAGACTGATTCATAGAGATGATTAAGCAAATTGTAAAAATAAAATAATGCAGTAATATGAAGTTTATAATTAACACTTGGTTATTGAATATGAGAAGGTGGGATATTTTAGGAATTAGATAGATTTGGACTAGATCAATCCAATATGAGATTTTTTAAGAAAATGTTGTAGGGTATAATGAGATTAGTTGTTTTATTTTAACCTATAGAATTCACAATTTGATAAGTATGTATGGCAGAGAGAAGTACATGTTCTTTTTGATTTATTTGATGAGAGAGGTAGAATGGGAGTTATATAATAGCACTTTTATTTTGATATGAGAGAGAGAGAGAGAGAGAGAGTTATGATGAACTTTTATTTAATGATAGAGGTGCCTTGTTTATAACATAGAGCGATAAAGAGAAAGTGAGCCATAATCCACCCTCCCCCTCTCTTTTAAAAAGAGCATATCCAAACCCAAAAGCAAAGAAAAGAAACAACAACAACAACAAAAGGCAAAGGACGAGCCACAAGAACCAAAACCTTCAACAGAAAACTCGTATCCAGAGAAACTCTCAATATATGGTCAAAGAAGCTAAAACCATAAAATTGACCATTATCCATATCAGCACATCTTCTAACCCAAGTAAAAATGCTAATAATATGCAATCTACCAAACAAAAACGAAACAAAGTCAAGTTGCCCATCTCTAAAAGCTGTGCTTTACAAAGCCATCCAACCAAGCGTCCTACTTTATTGTGACAGAAAACAAGCCCTGGAACTCCTCCTCAAAGCCATTCTCCCAAACCAAACATCCTCCCATAATTGAACAGGTTTGCAATTTCAAAACAAGAATTCAATAAATATCACACTCCAAAAAAGCATCAACACACAAACCTAAAGGGGCTGGAAAATTTAAACTTAAATTAGAATCAGAGCCCAAAATTGTGTCATTTCCAAGTCCAACATTTGGCTAAGGCATAGAAATAAAATCCAACCTTCCCACTAAATGAAACCCCCCAAAAAAAAAAAATTTGTCTAAAATCAGAGACTGAAACTCTAAATCACAAAAGATAGAAGATTAAACTAAGGAATTATTATATTAACAAACAAAACATGAAAAAAAAATTCAATTGAAAATCACGAATGACCAAAAAAAATGGTTTGGCAATCTTACGCTGAAACGACTAAACCGTAGGCCCACGATGCTGCCTGGATTGTCTCCGATCCACACCGTGGCTCTGCCGAATGCCTAGCAGAGCGAAATGAGAGAAGTCACAGAGATCGACGATTGATGAATTAAGAGAAACGGAGAGAGAGACAGAGATTGAAGCTTTGATTGACTTGCTTAGGTTTACGGGTCTGTTTGGTTTCAGACCATTTATTTTATTTAACAAAAATTAAGTTTGAGAAATGTTGAACTTTTTTTTTCTTAAATCGTCTTTAGTGTTTTACGCCTCGTTCGGAACAGACTAATTTAGTAATTTTTTAATTATTTGATTAAAAAAGTAAGTAAAAAAAATTTATATATTTGGGATGACTTTTTAATTAATTACGAAAATATGTGTAAAAAATAGAGAGAAAAGATAATCTTATGTTTGGTTTGTGTTTGAGAGATGTGTTTTAGAGATAAAAAGTACGAAAAGTTGTTTGGTTTGGTTTTTTTCAAAAGATGTTTTGGAAAATTATTTTGAGAGAGAATTTTGGAAAAAGTGATTGATTTGATGTGTGTGAGAGAGAGATTTGTTTGAAAAACTTGTTTGGTTTACAAGTTTTGAGAAATTTTTTTAGGAAAATTTGTTTGGTTTCATTACTTTTAAAAACTTATTTGTAGAGAAAATTTCCCAAAAATTTTTCCGAAATTCAAACCAAACGAACCCTTTGACTTTTTGGTATGAGTTGTTGGTTTTTTAGCTAAAAAGGTAACTTTTTGGTTTTTTAGCTAAAAATGTAAGTCCCCAAACGGGGCCTTAGTGTTTTTTTGTGTTAAAAATTGATTTTTTTTGTATTTTTTTATGTAAAAAAATTAAAAAATTAAAAAAAATAACTTTTTACTGCCTCCTTAAAAGTAAACTGTTTTTGTAGTTTGTAGAAGTATTCGCGGATCGATTTTGTGCGGTTTGCAATTCAGTTTTGACCTGTCCGCATCTATGCGGTTTGAAAAAAAGTCAACTCGTAACTGTCCACAATGCGTTTTGCGATTTGTGCGGATATAATTTGCAGATATGCGGGCGGTTTGCAGTTTACATTTTTTTCTTTAAAAATTAATTTTTGAGTTTTTTTTCCCATCGAATTTAGGCATCAGATTCATTTTATATATTTGTGATTATTTGATAACAATTTTCTGATGAGTTTACAAATAAAAATTGCATATCAATGCATTAAATGAAAGTACCCAAGACAAAGAGACCCTACATTAGTATTTTTGTTATGAAAAATATATATATTAATGCATTAAAAAATGTATATCAATGCATTAAAGATTGTACTCAATTAGAATTGCTAGTTCAGTAATCAATAATCAAACTAGAAGCTCCATCGACCACCAGAAGGAAAATTTTATTAGGAAAAAGTGGATGAGTCACCAATGAAAATCATATAAGAAACAAAGTTTAGGACTTGATAATTCTATAGCATTAAGAAAGTTGAGAAATACTTAAAAATAAGGATCCTAGTGTCATAGATAATATAATGGTGCTCCTGTTAAAGTTACAAAATTGGTATATAAAAAAAATAATAATAATAATAATTAAAGTGCAGGCGGTTTTGCGGGTTGCGAGTTTAACCCGCGACCCGCCCGCAACCCGCAAATTTGTCATATTTCAAACCGCATTCGCCCGCATTATGTTTGCAAAACCGCCCATTTATATGCTGGTTGGGCGATTTGGATAAACCGTTGCCCACCCCTAATAGTTTGGTATTTGTATTATTTTGATTTTTGATCTTTTTATCGTTATATATTTAAATTTGAATTTTGAATCTTATATTAAACAAAGATAATTGAAAACATTACTACTCTATTTCAAGAAAAAAGTTATCAATTTAATAAAATTTAAATTAATTTGACAAAAATAAATATTAAAAAATTATTTTTACTCACCAAAGATAAAATTATATAAAAATAATAAATCTTTTATATATTTTTTTTTTACCAAATTAATTTTTAGTATATATTTGAATGATCATCATGTAATTGGTGGTTGTTTTTGTTAATATTTTTGGATGATTATCATGTAATAGATGGTTATATTTACTATTAACATATATTTTTTTTATGATTATTATGTAATGGATAGTTATTAGGCTTTTAATGTATAATCGATATATTGACTATATGAAATATTTTAAATTTTAGATTTTTTGATTTAATGAATTAGTTTAATAATAATATCAAAATTAGCATCATGTTTGACTTTTAAAAAAATAAAAACTAAATTAATAAAAACAAATATTCAAATAAATTATTTACAAAAATTATTTCTACTCCCTAAAAGATAAAATTATATAAAAAAAAAATTAATTTTTTTCACCAATTTAATTTTTAATTACTTAGAAAAAATTTTGAAAATAGATTATGAACAGCAAACCAAATAGAACTTTGTGATCAAAAAAATTCTAACTTTATTCATTAAAAAAAAAAAACCCAAGTTGTATGACGATTTTACTCTTAAAATTGAGTAATAATATTTTCAATTATCTTTATTTTGAACGAGATTCAAAATTTATGGTGAAATGTATCGCAATTAAAAGATCAGGGACAAAGTGACGCAAGTCTCAAATTATAGGGATAATATGATTCGCCCAAAGTTTTAAAATGATTATTAATTTTTTGTTACTTTTCAAATATTTTTAGTCTAAAATGATCTAAAATCTAACAAAATAAAATAAAATATTACAGAAATTTATTAAATACAAACAAAAATACAAATCTCATCTAAACTTTCTCCATGACGAAAAATATAGGGGTCTTTTAGGAAGAAAATAAAAAGTCAACTTTTAATTTTTTACCCATTTTGAGTTACATCACCTCTTACATTTTTTACCTACAAAAAGACATTAAAAAGCCAAAAAATTAGTTATTTAAAAGATTAGAGACAAAGTGACACAAGTTTCAAATTATAGGAATGATTAATATGATTTGCCCAAAGTTTTAAAATGATTATTAATTTTTTGTTACTTTTCAAATATTTTTAGTCTAAAATGATCTAAAAGCTAACAAAATAAAATAAAATATTACAGTAATTTATTAAATACAAACAAATATACAAATCTCATCTAAACTTTCTCGATAACGAAAAATATAGGGGTCTTTTGGAAAGAAAATAAAAAGGCAACTCAAATAAGTTTGTGTTTCCTAAAAATTTTTGGGAAAAATTTCCTACAAATAAGTTTTCCAAAGTAATCAAACCAAACAAATTTTCCCAAAAAATTTTTCCAAAACTTGTTTGGTTTACAAGTTTTCCAAACAAATCTCTCTCTCATACACATCAAATCAATTACTTTTTTCAAAACTCTCTCTCAAAATAATTTTTCAAAACATCTTTTGAAAAAAACCAAACCAAACAATTTTTCGTACTTTTTATCTCTAAAACTCATCTCCCAAACTCAAACCAAACATACCCACCCCTCCATTCCATGTATTGTGTGGATGGAGTTTTGGAAATGTGGTTGGAGTTTTGGAAAGGTGATTTTACCATATATTTTAAAATATATTTCTTTTTTTAGTAAGAGATTTTATAATCATATAATTTCACCTCTCCATTCCATGTATTGTGTGGATGGAGTTTTGGAAACGTGGTTGGAGTTTTGGAAACGTGGTTTTACCATATATTTTAAAATATATTTCTCTTTTTAGTGAGAGATTTTATAATCATATAATTTCACCCCTCTATTCCATGTATTGTCTGGATAGAGTTTTGGAAATGTGGTTGGAGTTTTGAAAACGTGATTTTACCATATATTTTAAAATATATTTCTCTTTTTAGTGAGATTTTATAATCATATAATTTCACCCCTCCATTCCATGTATTGTGTGGATGGAGTTTTGAAAATGTGGTTGGAGTTTTGGTAATGTGGTTTTACCATATATTTTAAAATATATTTCTCTTTTTAGTGAGAGATTTTATAATCATATAATTTCACCCCTCCATTCCATGTATTGTGTGGATGGAGTTTTCGAAATGTGGTTGGAGTTTTGGAAACGTGGTTTTACCATATATTTCTCTTTTTAGTGAGAGATTTTATAATCATATAATTTCACCCCTCCATTCCATGTATTGTGTGGATGGAGTTTTGGAATTGTGGTTGAAGTTTTGGAAATGTGGTTTTACCATATATTTTAAAATATATTTCTCTTTTTAGTGAGATTTTATAATCATATAATTTCAGCCCTCCATTCCATGTATTGTGTGGATGGAGTTTTCGAAATGTGGTTGGAGTTTTGGAAACGTGGTTTTACCATATATTTTAAAATATATTTCTCTTTTTAGTGAGAGATTTTATAATCATATAATTTCACGCCTCCATTCCATGTATTGTGTGGATGGAGTTTTGGAAATGTGGTTGGAGTTTTGGAAACGTGGTTTTACCATATATTTTAAAATATATTTCTCTTTTTAGTGAGATTTTATAATCATATAATTTCACCCCTCCATTCCATGTATTGTGTGGATGGAGTTTTGGAAATGTGGTTGGAGTTTTGGAAATGTGATTTTACCATATATTTTAAAATATATTTCTCTTTTTAGTGAGAGATTTTATAATCAGATAATTTCACCCCTCCATTCCATGTATTGTGTGGATGGAGTTTTGGAAATGTGGTTGGAGTTTTGGAAATGTGGTTTTGCCATATATTTTAAAATATATTTTTCTTTTTAGTTTGATTATTATTATTTTTGTCTCCATTGTAAAAAGTTGAGAATTTTTGAATTTTGAGTTTATTCGGTTATCTTTTCGGATGTTTCTTGGACGTTTAGTCAGTTGATCAGAATAATATAATTTTTTTTTTTTTTTTGCAATTGCCAATCGCCAATTGCCACTTGTTATTTGGAAAAAATATATATATTTATTTTTAATATTTTTTAAATATAAAAATTATTTTTTTAGACCAAAATGACAAAAATTTTTTTTAATTGAATGTTAAAAAGAGTTTGATTATGTATTTTGAATAAAATATTCAATAGAGTTTTGAGTTGTGCGTTTCGTTATAAGTTATACGTTTTTTAATTTAGTTTTAAAAACTATTTTCAAACTCATAATCAAACAATTTTTCTCATTCATATGTCACATCAAAAATTCAAAACTCAATTAAAATTTTTTTTCGAAACTTATAACCAAACAAATTTTTTATTTTTGAATTATAATTCCAAAACTCACAAACTCAAAATACAACCCTATTATC